GCTAGAAGAGCATCAGAGGAAAAATGACATTTCGAGGAATTTGTTTGCTGTACATGCTCATGATCTCTTCAGGTTCCAATTCCATAAAGCAGCCTTTAAACCAGTTCAGTCCATGTAAGCCCAACAAGGCAGAGCTCAAAGTCCAAGGCTCTGTGCTTTCAGAGCTAGATTGTCCTTCAAAACTGTTCTAACCTCTTTAGCTTTTTCAGATGTCGGACATGCCTTGTGCCACTTGTTTTAATTGGGATGAGAGACAAACATAAAGCCGTGCAATATTTTTGGGGGTTGATTACTGCCATGTCTAGACCTCTAGAGAAAGAAATTCCTGTCCCAATTCTCCTTGCAAAACAGCTCAAACTCATTGAGATGTCAGAATTTTTGTGAACAAGTTTCAAAAGTCATGACCAGGATTGCCCCTGTGTTTGGATCCCCCCCCCCCCCCCCCCCCCCCGTCAATATAGAAGTATTTATCTGTCACATTGCTGCTGGCCAAACTGAATTTCCCCTCGGAGGGACGGATATTTCTATCCTATTGTATTTCAGCCAACTTCCCTGTTCCTGATGAAGAAAATCAGCCCGCAGCATGATGCAGCGTTATTTCTATGCCATATGCAATGTTTTGCATGCAAATTATAAATGTCACCTCTATTCTAGTCTGATCAGAGCCCCTTTTTCCACATGTTTGCAGTGTCTACTACATCAGTTGAGCTTAAATTTAATCAGGCCTGTCTTAGGCTTTTCCTTCTTCTCACCACTCTCCTTGTCATCATAGGTTTGCTGGTTTGCCAGACAGTCTATTTCAGATTATTGAATAAAGTGGTGGGAAGTTTAAAGCTTGAGATATTTTTTAAACGCTAATCTGGCTTTAAACCTGCAAACGATTTTATCCCCGTCTGGTCTAAATGCTGCTTTTTGTTTACTGATGGTTTCTATCAAAACTTCAAGGCATACAAGAGCTGTTGTTTTTACATTTATGTTAGATTATATAAAGGTAGATTTTGTTTACATCTAGAGGCAGATATTTTAAGGTTTATATGGGAATCTAAGTAAAAGAGGCTTAATACGAATGTACCCCGTATTTTTTAGACTTTGTGAAAATATTTGAAATTGTAAGGTTTCTTTTTTCCCCGCAGTTTTGCTCTAATATGAGATACAGTAGCTTAACATAAAAAAATTACAGTAAATTGTACTTTAAGTTTGTGGTTTTAACGTAAGATGGCGATGTCAAAACAATGATCTTTTGAGTGGCATAAATAGGGCTTATATGACGGCGATATTGGAAAGGTTTTTTCTTAAGTATCAGATGGTAGATCTTAGTTATGAAAAACATACTTGTAAATTTGACCCAGATTCTTAGTGAAACACTTAACCACAGCTCAAACAGAACAAACTGTTACAGGTTGTGGTTTTCAAAGTTTCGATATAAGCCACATTTAGTCGTTTAAGTTCCTAGTCATGCGACTGTTAATGACTGAAGACTCGCAGGTTTAACCTATATTTTATGTTCTGGTTAGTTATAAACATTGTTCTAATGAACTTGATTCTGAATCATCGTCTATACAGACCACTAAAGTAAACAAACAGGTAACATAATGAAACTTTTCTGTAGAAGAAACTGTTCTTCTTAAATGAGTTCATGTTTACAAAACTGAAAGTATTGGAATTTATATCTGATTAATACATTGGTTAAGCTGCTTTTTCTGCTCTCGCTTCTACCACTCTGTTGCTATCTGTATATTTTTATTACCAATTTCCTTACCTTATCTGGTCTTCATCTCCAAAGTAAAATTTTGACTTATTTACTGGTAAGCAAACATATTTAGCTGAATGCCTTCCAAGATCCCCCACCTCTGCTCCATTTAGTTGCCATCTAGTTTACACAAGAAACTTGACCTTTTACCAATTGTTCTTTGTAAAAATCTTTGTTAAAAAAGTCCATCAAATGAATGAATTCTATGGACATCAATGTCCAAGTCGGACAACATATTTTAAATTTGATCTGTTTGGACTCTGACCAGCTCATCTAACATAGAAGCCTGTTATCATATAGATTACTTCTTATGGCTATCTGAGACCATTGCTAGTTCCTGTACCTGTGTGGAAATGGTTTCAACTCTATGAAGACGAAAGACAGGAAATTCAATGAATTCATTAAACTGATTACTCATCCAGCGATAAATCAGACTTAAACATAAATTTTCAGTAAGTCTTGTATTGTTTAAGGGAGTCCTGATGCAACTTTTTCAATTACGATACCGATATCGCAGCCTTAAAATTTGTATGATACCAATATTGACCCAATATGAGATTGGTATGAATTGTACCGTCTTTAATTACTTGTTTTATACTTTTGAATGTTAGAAAATGCTTAATAAAGTAATATTAGTTAAACAGAGAAACAAAATTCAAGAACAGAACGGAGACTATAGATGCTGGCTGATAAAATCCGATGTCAGGATTTCGGCTAATATCGGACCAATATAAAATATATATATTGGATCGGGAAATGGCTACAATTGTTACCTTGTGTTTGTGTCACATATAGAGTGTAGGACTTCCTAGCCAAGATGACTCTCTGATCATATTACAGAAGCATTCAGTTATGATGGAAAACCACCAATCTCAAGGAGATCAGACACCCCAGGCCAAGGCGATAAGAGTTGACCGGACGGTCATAAGTAGTACTTAGTGGTGTGCTTTTCTGCATAATGTTTGACCTGTGGTTAGTGGAAGTAAGAATGAAGACGATTTTGTTGCCTCTCACAGATCTAAACATGCAAGTGTGTTTCAGCTGGTCAGCTATGAGCGTGTTGTTGTTGTTAAACAGGACAAGCCCCCTCGTTATGGTGCATTCAGACTCTATGCGGTGGCTGCGGTAAACGCACTGGATTCACAGAATGCGTATATAAATCGCATGGTGAAGCGACCAGCGGTGAACTCCACTCAGTGAAAGCGTTCACTGCTCCTCTCTCACCTCGTGCTACCAGATAGAGCTGAGGCAATTATAAAGTTTTTCATAAGGAATAAATTAACAATAGTTGGTGATGTTAAGTTTCACCTGTGCTTTTATTGTGAAATGCCGACAGTCAGCAAAACGAAAAAGTAGACCAGGAAATTATGATTCAAATCGGAGCTTAATGAGGGGATAGTTGACCTCTGGATGAACTAAAAATATAATATTTTATATCTCTGAAACGACAGCAGCACATGTGACCATTGATTTATACAAAGGACTATTTTAACCCTTTAAAGCCCGGTCCAAGAATAAAACAAAACAGAAAATTACTTTTTTTTGGTTTGAAGTCCTTATTTGGCCTTTTAACAAAATATTTAAAAAGAAAAACAGAAATACATTTTTGATATTAATAATTTATTACTATGCGATAAGTCAAGATTATTTTTTGTGTAGTCTTCTGCCCTCTGTTATCAGGTATATCTGATTGTGTACAATAGGATTTTGAGCAAAGTTTTTACCATTAAAATATGCAAAAGGTGTCAGACGCAAAACGTTTCAGAAACCGTATGTATCAAATATGATACATTTGGCATTACAGGGTTAAGTGCACAAACCTGCACTAGAAGTAATAACCTTTTAGTCTATTTGGTGAGAATTTTTGTCGTCAATAGGGTGTCAGCTTCATGCAGCTGAAGCTCCTCCTATTAGATGATGAGGTCCAGAGTGTAAACACTGTGCATCTGAAATGCAGATTGGTGAACTCCCTGCAGCGCTCACGGAAATCAATGCGTTCACCTCCTCCTGTGTGAACGCACCATTAGGAGGCTAATTGCCTTGAGAGGTTATTCTGCAAAACTTCATCTCTTACCGTCCTGCTTTGGTCCTTGGTCTTCATTTTTATTTTCTAATGTTCTCTAAAATAGCTCTTTTAAACAAAAGCTGAGATTATTAAGTGATAAAAGTAGACAGATTAATTCTGGTTACTATTTAGGTCATTTCTTAGTTTCAGCCTTTTCAGGGGTATCAAAGTAGAAGGGGGCGATTACAAATTCATGCAACGCTCTTCATATTTAATTTGAAAAACATTTTGAACACTAATGTTTTCTTTTTACTCCATAAACAACTTTTGAAAATAATTAGGAAGTAGTATTGTGGAAAAAAGTGGGTTTTAGTGCCTTTGTGTGCTCCTATAGGGGTACATATAGACCTACTTTTTTCTTCATAAGCAAGCTTAGCAAAAGGATTGCTTCATAATTTTAATGTGCATTCCATTCTGTGTGCTATGAAATACCAGAGGAGAGTAAGGCTTGTTTAATGCGATCAAATTCCTGTCATAATCCTTCGGTACTCGTTTCTGCTTCATCTACAATTGCAGTACAAATGATTGCTGTAACTTTGGCTTTAATCTTCGTTTTAGATGTTATGGTAACATCAATTATAAGGAAAGGGAGAACGAAAACCACAAGTGTGTACACAGAAGGATTTAGCAAGGGTTTAATAGGCATTATAGTACAACTGGAGGCATGGCATGAGATTTCGAGCTTAGTCACCGGACAAAAAAACTGTTGCCAGGGATAAGCTGTATACGGTTTGGCTTATTTGCTTTTGTGCTCGTGAAAACACAAGCGGAGAGCTTGTTACAACAAATACTCTTAATTGTATATCACTTCATCTGAGTCGATATTTTTTTTAAATGCTAAACCAAATAAAACATTTAAATTATTTTTTTTTATATAAATGTGCTTCCAAATGTATTTTTTCTTCTATTTTATAATAAATTTTTAAAATATAGTATGTACATTTTTTACATCGGTCTGCTTGGAAGTGATAAAATTATGCCTTTTTTTTCCTTTGCGCCCCTCAAAACGACTTCTGTGTCTCCTAGCAACAATACAATATACAACTTTTTATACTGCAAATCAGGCCTCTGCAAGCTACATTCTTTCCGTCACTCTGTCAAGTTTCCATTCATGTTAAACACTCTTAGCATGTGTTTTTTTTTTTTATTATTAAACCCTAATATCTTTTTCTGTTTTTATTCCAGCCCATCAGCCAGAACTGGAGAAAACAACAGCACTTCAGCGACCGGCCAGTCCAAGCCTGGCGGGCAAGCCCATAAGATATGCCTGGTGTGTTCAGACGAGGCATCTGGATGCCATTACGGGGTTGTTACCTGTGGCAGCTGCAAGGTCTTCTTCAAGAGGGCTGTCGAAGGTTAGTCTTAGATTTCCACTCCACTGCGATCACAGTTCATTGATTTCTGTAAATGACCCACTCTTTGTAAACGGTTAATATTTCCATTAGTGGCGGAACAAGTTGCTTCTATGGAAATGCGTGGCCTTTAAGGAATAGTACACCCAAAACATGATTAGCCTTCATTTTCTACTCACCCCCATGCTGAACAACACTCTGGAGTACTTTTTTGATATCTCAAATGCATCTGGAGATCTGGGAGGCTTCTTGCTGTCTGCTGACATTCAAATAATGGAGGTCTATGGTGCCCGAGGCAGAAAGGTCCATAAAAGTCCACAAAAAACGTGTCAATATTCCTCCATACTGCTTGTCCAATGTATTCCAAGTGTCCTGAGTGGGTAGCATCCAGAATTTACTCGAAACGAAGTCATTTAGAATGTTTTTAGAGCATAAACAGTAGTGTATAGGATTTCCTGAAAGCGCGCGCCTGCACGTTCACGACGCTACGGAAGCCGGCAGACCAAACCAGATGAAAGTGCGCATTCAGCGTCTGCTCTGCCAATAATGCAAGCGTAGAAGAAGAAATGTGCTGTTTACCTGTGCAAAGAAAAAAACAACGAAAGAAAAATGTCTGAGGACTTCAGTGTTGAGGAAGAGCATGAGTTCTTTGCCGAGCTGAATGCGCACTTTCATCTGGCTTGGTCTGCCGCGGTTTCCGTAGCGTCATGAACGCGCTTTTAGGAACTCCTATACACTACTGTTTATGCTCTAAAAACATTCTAAATGACTTCGTTTCGAGTAAATTCTGGATGCTACCCACTCAGGACACTTTGAATACATTGGACGAGCAGTATGGAGGAATATTGACTCGTTTTTTGTGGACTTTTATGGACCTTTCTGCCTCGGGCGCAGAAAGGTCCATAAGGGCCTCGGGGTGATTAGAAAATGAAGGCTAATCATGTTTTGGGTGTACTATTCCTTTAATGCAGCTTTAGTAAGGTGTCAAAATGTTTTAAATGAGCAGCAATCATAAAATATACATTTTTGCAAGAGTCAGTTTTTTACGGTTTTATTCCATCTTAAGCTTTTTGGTTTCTTTGTTTAATCCTCCTTAAATTCATTTTTCTAAATCAAAGTATTAAATTGTTGTCGACGGACTGTTTTCTTAGTGTTTGTTTAGATCTGGTCACCGTTTGTATTTCTTTCTCAATGTTGCAGAGATTAATTGACTAGTCATATTTAATTATTAGTAAAAACCTCCAAAGTAATTATGGATTGTCTAGGGGTGGAACGGTTGAAAAAGTTACCGTTGAAGTAATGGATTAGGGACCAAAGATTTTCACTTGAATTCACCCCTTGTATCGGGTAATTGGTTTAGAAATACCTGACATTATGAATAGATAATGTTTCAGGTGTTTATATAAAATATTTTTTGCCTCACCTTGTAGCCTTGAACATAGGAAGTCATTCAATTTTCATTAAAGAGGAAAAACTTAGTCACTTAATCTCAACCTCAACAGCAATGTAGGATGTTCATCACAAATATAATTTCACTGCAGAGCCAATATCGGCCCACTTCTGACACAACAAATACATAGTCATTTCAGTGATTTAGTTTGGTTTCTTAATATTCTAACATTTTACTGAGGTTTACTGTTTTTCAAAAGAAGTAGAATCTCTTTCCTTCCTCATCCTTGAACTATTGATGAATCACAAACTCCTGACATTTTTTTAAAGCCAACATATTTAACCTGTTTTTGCTAGATTGAGCAATTTGTTCCCGTTCGCTTGAGCAATTATTGTGGCAAAAACTCTTAAGTAATACACATAGCATTTTTTTCCCCCTAAAAGTTGATTATATACTAATATGTTTATGAATTATGAATTGTGGGTTCAGACAAAGCCTTACAGTTATACAATTACTTCATGACATTCATATATAAGAGTTTAATTCAGTATTATAAAGTCAGTAGAAAATAACTGTAGAAATTTTATTTACATTATGGTTTTATAGTGTGTTAATAAAGGGCGGGATCAGCTGTATAATCTATTTGAAATGTAGTCGGGGAGTCGACTGTCTCCTCTCCGCTCTGAATGCAGTGCTGCACACTGCTGTGACCACCTGTCAGTGCTTGGGAAGTGCGATGGGCTCACGGCGGCTCTTTTAAGATAATAATTGGTGCTCAACATGTAGCCATCAAAGTCTCAAGTAACACGGCGTCATTTAGCTAGTAGTTTCTGAGTTTTTTCTAAGTTGTTAAAGGGTCTGATTACTCAGTTGATGAAGCAACACAATCGCTAAGATTGCAACATTGAGAAAATTACTACCTGTATGAGCTAATCGTATCACTGCCAATGTCAGTAAACCATGTTGCTTTTGAAAAACATATGGCTGTTTATAAGTGCAACATTTCAGCACCCATAAACTATCCGTCTTGTTGACATTCTAAACAAATGTGCCTCGGCCAGCTGGAACAAATAATGCTAGCAAGTTCTATCAAGTATTGGATACTGTTGATGAATATATCACCTAATATACTGTATCCTTTTCTGATGTAGATCTGCTTTATACTAGTTAGCGTTGCTGTTTGCATTTCCACGAAATCTAAGTCTGAAAACCAAGCCTTTTTAAGTTAATGGACTGAGCTGTGCAGCATAGTTTTTTTTTTTTTCATACCGAGAACGAACCGTTCCATCCCTCATACTTTCCTGCAGTACAGTAGACTATTAACACAGCCTTTTTATTCTCCATGCCACAAAATCCCTCTATATCATCCAGTAGAGTGTTAACTTATTTTATGCAGGCAAGCAATTTGCCTGTTTTTTCTTTTTCCTGAAATAATATTGGCGACAAAAGGAACGCGGCAGATGGACAAAATAACTTTTGGGTCTATGCTTTTTTTCTCTTGTGTTCTTTCCTGTTGTTTTACCCTTTCTGTCTTTTTACATTCTGTTCCTGTAGATATGTTCTTACTTTCTGGATGTTTTGTTTTTCCACAATTGATCATTGCTTGCACTCATCAGCTTGCAAAGCCTTGGTGAATAATAAATAAGCTAGTCTCTTAATTTGTATTGATCCAATGCTAACAAAGAACCAACTGCAAAGAGATGACCCTCACTAATCCTTTTCTCCCTGGTTGAGAGACCAGTAGCTTTTTCCTGCTTTCTCTCCATTTCATTTGCTACCTCTGTCCGCTTCCTCTGTAACCACAGCTACCATTCAGGGTGAGGTAATAGCTTATGAACAAACCTGCTTTCACAAATCATTACTCCTTATTTTACATGTTTGTCTAGCTTTTGCAAGACCGAAGTATACTTTTTCTTCATGCTTATTAGACTTAAAAAATGTATTAACCACATGAAATATTGTTCACACAAAATTGATAAATTAAATATGTTTTAATTGATGGCTCAGGTTCATTATAAACATTGGTGAAAGACAGAGACTAGGGCTAAAGCATGTTTTGAGAATGCTTTCAGAATGCTAAAAGACTGAGAAAAATGAAGAAAATAAATTTTTTTCAGTCTTATTTAAAAGCGCAAAACAAAACGGCACAAGGAAGAATAGTTTGAATTAAGAGCAGTCTTTAAATTTTTACGCAAATTTTAGGAAGAATACAAAATACTACATGTGCTAAAGCTGTTCTCGATTGATAATAAGAAATAAAGCCTTTTTTATTTTCTCCCCGCAAGAAATACTGGAAAGGCTTTATGAAAAATCTTGCATTTAATTGTTGAAAAGCTTCTAAAGGCCATAAAGCATTTAAAAGATTGCCTAAAAATAAGAAGCGCAACCATTTCTGTATAGTATTTTGATTAAATTTATATAGCTTTTGATCTAATACATTCAATTCTTAAGTTTCACCATTCTATTATATAATAGCTTATTATGTTTCTATTAAGTAATCATGGACATTTTTATCTATTTGGTAAAAGATAAGATACTTTAAAAATGTTCATGGTGATCAGGCAATATTCTAGTTTTTTAATCATTTAAAGAGCCAATAAGTCAACATTTTAAGACATTTTCCACTTAGACGGGATTTGATGCAACCAGAACTACTTTATGCTACTGACATTTTCTACTGTATGTGGGAGGAAACACAAGAAAAAGGTCCTATTTTTGTCTTTGATTATGAGCATTAAATAAGAGTTGGGTTTCTGGTTTTTCTTCCATAGTACTAGAGCTTTTAACCGCATTTTAAACACATGTCTTTGTTTATGTTGTTCTTTTGCTTACCTGCTTTTACAATGTTGTGCTGATGTCCTCACGGATAAGACAGAACTGAACTGTCACTTTATCTGAAAAAGAAATCGCACTGAGAAAGTTATGTTTTGTCATTTTTGTTTTTCTCCCCCTTGTCTGTTCTCTTCTCATCATCTCTATGGTGAAGGATGGAGAGCACGGCAAAACACAGATGGTAAATAAATGCACTTTGTAACTGCATTAATAATAATAATGGTAACAATCATTGTAATTGTGATTATGATGAAAACTGTGTCATTTCTGATTCGCTCATGTCCCTGCATTCCTTCAGCACTAAAATATGAGCAGTCTGCCTACACATGCACTCAAGCCTCTGCTGCCAACTGTCTCTGAATGCATGCAGATCCTCTGACTTGATGAGTTAAAAAGCGCTGGTTTCCTTTGATTGATTATTGTGCTCTTCAGCTCTAACTTCACCTACTTCACCTCTTCTCTAATGATCTTTAATCTCAAATTTGATGTCACAACCACCCTCCACTTTGCTTAATCCTCATCCGTTGACCCACTTTATCTCCTGATATTCCACTATGATGCTCAGGTGTTTAAAGGAATCGTTTTACAAGCTGTGATGGTGGGACTTTAGAGGTACATTGGTTGCAATAAATAATCCCTTTCATGCTTTTTGTTCTTTGGTTATTAAATTACAGCCCAGCCATACATTATCATTTATTATTATACATAATAATTTAGATTATTTTAATATTTAGTCATTTAACTGCTTAAATTGATCTAAGAACTATATTTCGATGTTCAGTAAACTGACCTATATTGTAATATTTCTTTTTCGTTCAGTATTGATTCCATTCATCGACCCCATTTTCCATCACTTGACACATCTCTAAACTCTGGTCAGTAGATCAGACCATGATAAGACACTCAGCTGGCACATTTGACACCACAGATGGCTGTTTACGTTTTTTTGCTTGGATGATCTGCCGTGTTAGTGATGCCTTCAGATGACAGCCTGGGCATCGTCTTTTTGTGTTTATAACACTCACGCTACACACTAATAACTTGTCTGTTTTGAACAAGATCACTCTCCAGTTTTGAAGCTTTCTAGGCTTTAGTTTATTTAATTTTTTTTTAAATATGGTTTTTAGGATTTCCTTACAAAGGTCTCTGGACATCTAAACATTTTAGAGCAGGGGGGTCACAACTCAAATCCTCCAGGGTCGATGTCCTGCCACTTTTAGATGTGTCTCTGCTTCAACACAACCGACTCCAATATGAGCTCTTTAGCAGGGATTGACTGCTGCTCATGTGGTAGTTAAGCTATTTGATTCAGGTGTTAAGGGCAAGGGACACATCTAAAAGTAGCAGGACATCGGCCCTAGAAGATTTGAGTTTGAGACCCCCGGTTTAAAGGCTTCATATTAACTCATATTTTATTACGGTAGTATTATCACACTGCTGCAGTTCTCTACCAGAGAGCTTTGGAGTCATTAATTTACTCTCCTTTCCCATCCTCCACACTGCGTGTGAAGTAGGATAACTTGATCCCTTTTTCAGCTTTGCTCACCCAAGTTTTGGGATTTTTGCCTGTTTTTTCTGTGTTTTCCAGTATTATCAGCATTACTCGGCCCTTTGCATATCCCTGCTCCTTGGAAGTAGCTGAAGCTGTGTTAGAAATCGTAAAATCTCTGCTGTATGTTTTCTTGTCATCCCAATTTTGAAGATTATAAAGGTTGTATACGTCACCTTCGTTTGCACCACAGTGAGTCTGGATATTAGCTACTATTTATAATCCCCTTCACACTGGTAACTTCAATAAGGAAATCCTAAAAGGAGATTTTAGTTGCATTTAATTTCTTAATGGGTTTTTAAAGGTTGTTGCTCTTCCAGGGTTTTTATAAAAGCAAAACTAAAAGCCAAAATGGAATTTATTCAAACCCCTTGACAGATATATCAAAATTAAACCATGAATTAAAAATAAAGCATTGAATAGAAAGTTGTTGTTCTTACATAAAGTTTTTTTTTCACATTTCACATTTAGTGTAATAACAAAGCCAAGGAGCTGCCATGCAGTGAAATGAATGCAAGTCTTAGTATGTTGCTGAACTTTATATTTTCTGTTCCTTTTTTTATTTCATTAATAGCTTGATCTCGCAAAGAGTTCACTGACTGCTCTTTCTTTTGAGGAAATTACAGCAAATTAAAGCAGTGACCTCTGGATAACGACATGTAGCCTTATAAAATTGGCAATTCCTTTTAAGTAACAACAAATGTGGTTGTTTAGTAAAAAACTAGGGTTGGGACTTGTACGTCTCTTACATACGGAAGAGGATTAGGGCCACTGAAAAAAAAAAAAAGTTAACTGATTTTTAAATTTTATTTCAGTTTAGTATGGGGAAAAAAGTCAGAATTCTCACTTTAATCTCAGAATTCTGACTTTAATCTCAGAATTCTGACTTTTTCTCAGAATTCTGACAGCTAACAAACATGTTAGCATCAAGCCATAGCCATGTCTGTTTTAGAGACTAGCTGTCTTGTTTTAATGACCTTCTGCTCCTCTATTAATGAGGGGACGTGAAAGTTGCCTAATTCCGTCATTTTCCATCAATGTGTCAATGGCACTCTCAATCAACTCACATCTTTGTCAGTGAAGCTGAGTGCTCCCACATCTCTTCCTTCATGGTGCCCATCTACATTAAGATCCAAAATTGTGAGATTAAAGTCAGAATTCTGAGAAAAAAGGCAGAATTCTGAAATGAAGTCAGAATTCTGAGATTAAAGTCAGAATTCTGAGAAAAGTCAGAATTCTGAAATTAAAGTCAGAATTCTGACTTTTTTTCCAATACTAAATTGAAATAAAAATTTTAAATCAGTAGACTTTTTTCTTTTTTTCCAGTGGCCCTAATCCTCTTCCGTACTTACGTCTAGTCTAAAGCACTCTTAAAATTAGTTTGTACCCGAGAGCAGATTAGAATTAGGAGAAAAATGGTGAATGCTAAATTTTCTCCTAAATCACTTGTAGAACATTTTGATTGTATAAAACGCTTGCATGAGGCCCACTGTCAGGTACATTTCTGTTTTTTTTTGTCATTATATTTGTGAGATGTGCACTTTGGTGGAAGATTTGAGAAAATATAACCTCAACCTTTTTTTAGTACTCTTCACAAAATAATGCTGGGAGCCTAACAAGCTGGATATTTAGAGGCACTTTAGCCTGGCTCTGTTTTCATGCATCAAATAGGCATGCCACTACTTTCCTAGCATGCAGCTTTACTTTTAAGAGAATATTACAGTCCTTGAGTTTTGACCTCTTTAGATTTTCACTCCATAACCCTCCAAGCAGGATGACCTAGTTTGTTAAAAAGAAAAAAGAATGTGGAAGAGGGATTCTATGTAGTTAGAGAAAATCAATGTCTCTCTGGAATTGTATTGGTTTCATATTTGACAACAATAAGACAACACATATAAGACAACAAGTCTTATATGTCCAAACAAAAATGTTATATTGAAGATATTGACTCTGTCTATGCTCAGTTGGACATGAGTTCCCTAAAACGCTGAATAATTTAAAGCAAATAGTTAGGGGTGTCAATAAATGAGCTGTCATGGATATGGTAAAATTTGTTCTTTTTTTTTTTAAAGGATGAGAAATATATATATATTTTTTTTTTTTTCACATTTATGAAAAGTGGTGTAATTATATGTTTACACACTCAAATATAGGAAACTAAAAATATTAAAATCTGCTTTGCCATCTACAAATGTCCACATATCAGCAACCTTCACGGCAGGAGATGGCATCCTTTTAGGCTGAGCTAATCATTTGCTTTATGTCCCAGATTCAGTGTTTGTTGATGATCAGGGCATCACGAATGCAGCGCTACTGGAGTCGCTATTCACAAAGAAAATGACTTAATGCGTCATTTAGAGGAAACAAAGATGGCTGTGACTCATCCTGGTTAACCGAAAACCCTGACTGTGATGCTTTGTACGTTCTGTGCATAACCGATGACAACTGAACAGTGATTGCAAAGATATATAATGTACACAATTAAAAGATTAACATTGCTCCATTAAATTATATAAGTATGTAAATTGGCATGTCCCTTGGAGCATTGTTTGAATGGTTAATCAGTCACAAAGATTTTTTTTTCTTCTTTTTTTTTTTCTCAAAGCACCCACAGTGTAGGTAGGCACTTTGATGTGCAGACAACTGGTATAACTTCTTATTTTCTTACTCAGAGGTAGCTCACAGCCTTGAGGCGGGAAACCCTTTTGATTCCCTTTTATAAAAATTAAATATAAATTTCTTTTTTTGGCAAAACCAATTAAAAAAAAACCCAAAATTTTATTGGGCCCTAAAGTCCCCAAAAGTTAAATTTAAGGGGGGTTTTTTAAGTTTTTTTGATTTTTTTTTTCCCTTGGAAAAGCAACAGCCCAAAACTGAAAATTCAAACAATTTCCCAGAGGTGGTGTTTAAAAATTTGGGCAAAAATTTCAGCCCAAAAATAGTCTAAAAATTCAAAAAAACCCCCGTAAAAAATTAAATCAATAATTATTGTTTTAAATTTTTTCGCATTTAAAACCCTCTGTGGGGCAAACCTTCCTCATGGAAAAATCAACCTCCAGTTTTTAAGAGCATTCCCCTTAAATTTTTTCTAGACCAGGCTTCCCCCAAAGGGGGCCCGTTTGCCCTTTCCCAGGTCTTAGGGGTTTTCCCCCTGCCCGACAACCCCAAAAAAATTAAATATTTTGTTTTAACAGGCTTTTTGGCTAAAAACTGAAATTAAACCAGAAAGCTGTGCTAAAGAGAGGAACCTTTTTAAACCCGGGGCTGGACAGTGGGCCCTCCGGGAAACCAAAACTTTGGGGAGCCATTTAGACCTTTAAAAAAAAGAAAAAAAACGGTACATAACACAAAACCCCAACCATAAAAATTTGGTAACACAGAAATTTTTGGGTGGGTTACAAATGTATTAGACGTTTCCCCTGTGAAAAAACACATTTCCGTTTGGAAAGGGGTTCCCTTTTCTTTTTCCTCCTTTTGTTGAAAAAAGGGAAAATTTAAAAAAATTAGGAAAAAAACCCTCAATTATTCACGGTTCACAACAAACACAAATTTGTTTTTTTTTCCCCCTTCCTGGCATTGGTTGTATTAACTATTAAATTTTAATAGGTTGTACATTGCCAAACTTTATGATTTTACAATATTTACACCTCTACACTACAGAACTGCAGAAATAGTTCACATCCTGATAAAAGAATTAAAGAATGCCATTTGATTTATACATTGCCTTCCAAAGGGGAATATCAAAGATCTGCAGGGGAGAATGTTTTTAAATTAGAGCAGTCATTGGGGCCCCCCAAAGGGCTTTTTTGTAATGCAAGCAGTATTTAAAAAGCGGGCCTTGTTTCTGTGAAAAGATGACTTTCCTCTGCAGCATGCCCCCGGCTTCTCGGGAGGCAGAAAAAACCACTTCTAAAAAACTTAATCCGACCCAGAAAAAAGGAAGTTAGATAAGAAAAAGTGATAAATGGAAAAAAAAAAAAAAAGGACAAATTTTCTTATATATATTTTAAGCTATTCATTTATATTTTATACAAAATTCTTTTTGGGCCCTTTAAAGATGTTTAATTTTAATTTAAAATATATATATAAAATTTTAAAAATAAAATAAAAAATTATAATTTATATATAATATAAATGGGTATTTTAAAAATATATATAAAAATGATGTATAAAATATATGTATTATAATAAAATATTTTTTAAAATATATTTTAAGGGGGTTAAAATTTAATATATATATGATAAAAATTATAATGTAATTATATATGTTATATATATAATATATTTTATAAATATATATATATAAATGTTTATATGAAAAATATTTTAGTTTTAATAAAATTTGGTAAAATGTAAAATGTATAAAAAAATTGTAAATGTAAAAAAATGTAAAAATTGTATAACTTTATATGTATATATATAGGGAATTGGGTTAAAAATATATATGTTATGTAAAATATAAAAGAATATGATACATAATATATGTAAATATATATTTATATGGGGGGTAAATAAAAATATATACATATATGTATATTTATATTAAAAATTTGTATTTATGTAAAAAACAATATAAGTATTTTTTGATTTTAAAGTATTTTGTATTTAATAAAATTTTAAAAAATATTTAGGGAAAATTATAAAAATACATATATAAAATATGTTTATATATACATATATATGATATATAATTATTTATATAAAATGCATAGTATTGTTTATAATAGGGAATATATATACATAAATATTTTATTTTAAAATTATATATATATTTGAATTTTATATAAAAATATTAGGTAAAATGTAAAAGTATTATATGTATATGTATATAAAATGGATATGTATTTGTATATATATAAAAATATTATAAGTATATATATATATGTGTTTTATGTAAAATAAAATGTATTTTTAATGTATATGTATAAGTATTAAAAGTAAAAATGATATATATGTAATTATATACCATTATATGTATATATATATTTTTATATGTATATATATATGTATAGGTTATATATATGATATTATACATATAAAAGTTTTATATATAAATATATGTGTGTTTAATAAATAAAAAAATTATGTATATATAAAAATTTATATGTTTTTAAATGAAATATATATATATTTTAAAAATTTTATAGGTATATATGTTTTTTAAAATTTAATAAAATAAAATAAAAGATATAATTAAAAATTTTAAAAAAAATAGGGAATTTTATATACAATAAAAAGTAAATATAATAAATATAATTTCAATCATTTTTTGTAAAATTAAATATATGTTTTAAAATATACTTATATATGAAATTTTAAATTTATCTATTATATTTGTAAAAAATATATAATATATATTTTGAAAAATGAAAATTGTATTTTAATTTTTTAAAATGTATATATATGTATTGTAATGTATATATATTATTTTGGTTTTAATTATAGTTAATGAAAATTTTTATATGTATTTTAGTAAAATAATAATGTATATAAATGTAATTTTGAAATATAAAATAAAGGGTATATATATAATATAAAAATTTTAAAAATATATATATGTGTGTATAAAATATTTTAAAAAGTGGGGTGTATATTATATATATTTGGTATATTAATAGTATATATATTGTATAAAATTTAAAATTTTGTATTTTATATATAATATAAAAGGGTATATAAAATGTTTTAAAAAAATGTATTTATATATGAAATTTTATTTTTAAAAATCAAAAAGTATAAAAATATTATATTTTATAAAAAATTTTAATAAAATTGTAATATATATATAAAAATGTATAAAAATGTAAAAAATGTTGTATATTATGTAAAAATATATAAATTTATATTAATTTTATAAAAAATTATATAAAAATTTTATTTATAAAATATATATAAAAGGGGGAATTTTGGGTATATAATTTTATAAAAAATGTATAAAAATGTATATAAAAGTTAAATATTAAAAATTATTCTAAAAAATTATGTTAAAATTTTAATAATATGTTTTATAAAATATATATATAATATGTATTTTGTAAATAGAATATATAAAATTTTAAAAAATATTTTAAAAATGAAATAGGGTAAAATGTAAATATATATAAATGAAATATGAAATATGTATTTGAAAATTATTGTAAAATTATATAATAAATGTATTTTGGTTTTTATAATATTTTAAAAAGTTATATATATGTATTTTAATATAAATTAAGTAAAATATATATATATATTTAAATATATATGGGTATAAAATAAAAAATATTATTATATAGTATATATATAATATTAGGGGTAAAGACAAGAAAACCCAAACATTGAACTGAGGGAAAAAACTTGTTGTTTGAAAAGGAAAGTGGATAAAAAAAGGGAAGAAGAATTTTTTTGGCTTCGGGGTTTAAAATTTGTACCCTGGGAAAAAATAAAGACTGGTAGAGGTTCCAAATTATGCCCCGGGGTTTCCCTTTGGATAAATAACATTTTTATTTTTTTCCCCAATGGCATTAACACCAAAACAGGGGATTTTAAGGGTGTTAACTTTAAATACTTGCAAAAGGTTTTCCCCAGTTTAATTAAAATTTGGAACAAATAATGGGCCATCTCGTTTTTTTTTTTTTAAGTAATGGTGTTTTTAAAATTGAAATTTTAAAACCTTTGAAATAAAAAAACAGGGTCACCCTCTTTTTCGTGGGTTAACACCTCTAATCAGAAACAGGAAAAATGAGAAAAGAGGTTTCTTTTTTTCCTTTTTTTATACGCTGTATATAAATCTATCACTGTCCATCTGTTTTGTATCTTTATGTTACTGATCCACAACTCTTAGCAAACCCTGTTAGGACAGGCGGGAAGACGGCGGGCCATCCATTGAGTCCCATAAGAAATCTTTCACAGGGCATCCCCTCATTTAAACCGGCGAGGAGCCGTTGATCCTAGACCAAACTACATTTTTAAAAGCAACATATGTTTGCTTTACAGCTGACCTGAACGGGAACGGATTTAAGAGTTAACTGTTTGCACAGCATCAAATCATAAAAGGATATTAAGAGGCCATAATAACATCCTGATGTAGAAACATTTCTGTGATTGGCTTTATTTTATCACATAAGCAAAAGGGTATTCATTGCATTTCTTCCTTCTGGTTACACATCTATCACTGGTTCTGTTTCTTATTAACTTGCATCTAATCAAAGATTCTGTTCCGTTTCCCTCCCCCCCACATCTGTAGAGATTATGGCACAATGCTTGTGTAGGAAAACAATTATAAAGAGGCCAATCATCTTAAGTCTGCTAAAAAAAAAGCAGGTCAAAATGCTGTAGAAGTGGTGGCGCTATGCCCTCATCTTCAAACACAACCATTGTGCCTGGTGGTAGGAACACAAACTTTGAGAGTGAAGCTGTCAACACTGCTGGGATGCAACAACTTTGTGGAGGCTTACTGTAAAATCAACAGGTGGCGAGTGTGGTTTTTGCAGGCTGCTCAAGCTAATCCTCCTCAAACAGTCTTAGCTGGCTAATTTGTCTCCCCTTATCCACTCTGCTCTTCCTCCTTTTTTTTTCTCTCTTTTTTTTTCTGTACAGGTCAGCACAACTACCTGTGCGCTGGAAGAAACGACTGCATCATTGATAAGATTCGCAGGAAGAACTGCCCGGCATGCCGCTTCAGGAAATGTCTCCAGGCAGGAATGAATCTGGAAGGTAAGAGGAGGAGACCTGCTCTAGTCTTCATCTTTATTATTAAACACATTACCTGGCCACAGTTACTGTAGGTATAGGACTGAACTCATTGACTCACTGAAATGTTGGCATGACCTCACATAGCCTGATTAAAATGGTAAGCTAAGGGATTAGTAGTAGGACCGTTTCCCTCCACCTACTCCTTTTACACCCACCTTCTGTCTTTTTGCTCCTCCTCCTCATTATGCATGACCAGAGATCATGTTGAAAATTCTCCCACCTGAGACGTGCAACTCTTCCAGAGTCACCACAGGCCTCCTGGCTGCTTCTTTAAGTCAGCTTTTTCTTTATTGACCTGTAGGTTTCAGGTTTTCCTTGGTCTATATAAGGCTGTTTGTGCCCTAATATTCTCAAACAAACGGAACAAATAATAGATTTTCTGAGATCAAACCATGCATAGGTTTACTATGACCTGATTAAGGTAACTTAAAGCTTACTGTGAGCTGAATGCATAGGCATGTTGGTTAAATAAGTTATAGAATATTTAGGGCTGATTAGAATGTTTGCATAGCACTGAAAAAAGCTGCAGTGTGCAATGTATTCTGCAGAAGGTGTATTGCAAATTTTTCAGATTAGGTAACATTCACATTCCTTTAGTACATTTGTGGAAATCTATGCATATGATGGCTTCTGCTGATTGAAGACAGTTTTGAAATGCATTAGAAAATAATCTAAACTGAAGTTGATATAATAAACATTCTATGGTCTGTGGGTTGTCTAAAAAGAGACCTTAGAGTCTATTAATAAATTACCAGCTCTTGCAAAGAGTCAACAAAGGCATGTCAGGGAAAGATTTAATGATGGTTTGCCATATAAAGGCAAAATAATTTCGGCAAAGACATTTCCTAAAATCCCTCGTTTCACTAAAAGTACTGATGCAAAAAAAATGATGAAACACTTTTAGGAAGGACTCTGTGACTTTGTCCAGAATGTAACCTAACCTAATCTGACTCAAAAAAAAAAAATAATAATAATTTGCGTAAAGTGCTGAAATGAAAAAAATGATTTGAAAGAAAATTTACATTCAGAGAGGTGGTTTACTAGATTGCATTTTTATGAAAATAAAGATTTATATTTCTGTCAGTATGTTACTTCAACAGACATTGTTTGTTTTTATATTGGTCGGTTTAAAAACGGTTTGAAAAAGGCTCCCAGTAGAGCTTGTCCTTTCTTGGCTGCGATTCTTTTCCTGTTTTGTTTGCCAAAGCACTGAGACTAAACCTGATACACTGGTGCTATTTTTATAGCATGCTGTTGCACAGACAAAATAATGAACCACTGTTTTAATAAGCTGGTTTTAGAAGTGCATAAATCACACAGCCAGAGGTTTGATCTGGCTTTATTTTTTATGATCTTCAGGTTCAACGGGGAAAAAAACCCAACAAAAATTAAAAATAGGGGGATGAAGTGTTTGGGAGTTCTTTTATATTTATTGTATCAAAATGAAGAGGTGTCACGATTTTGATCAAAATGCATTATGCATTTGCAATAAAAATGATGCAATGATGCAAAACAGCTTCCTTCAGTTTACTGGAAGGAAGGATCTGCATTCTACATTCTTTCCTGCACCTAAGGTGCAGCACACTGACCGAAGGATCTCTGCAGCTCTGCATCAGCTTCATGCATGGAATGTAGACAGTGTCCAACAGTGATGTTCATCATTTTTTTTTCTGTCAACAATAAGCTGCACTGTGTCTAGGGGGCATTATAGAACAGAGTAGGCTTTCCGATGAAATGATCTAACAGCTTTCCTTCAGCTGTAAATAAACAGCTGCTCCAACACCATAGAAGGTGGGGTTCGGTCTTAAGTAGCCCCCCCTGCTTTATAAAAGATCTCTGCCTCCTTAGCAGGTAGAGTCTGCTTTGACTCTCCTTGTAAACAGCAATAAAGTTGCTGCTTCCGTGGAGCTTATTGTTCAGATGACCACTCAAGAATCCATTATCACAAAATGTCAGTTCTTAAATGAAGAACCTGAAGCACTTTTTTCTCCTATTTATGAAAATCAATAAAAGGCTGGTCAAAGAAGTATTGCTAACCAAAAACCTGATCAATGCATCCCTATTAGATGAATGAATATATACATCTATGTGTAAATTCAAAACTATTTGTTTATCCTTATATTTGCTTATTCTAAGACTAAAAATATCAGGCTTTGGTTTTTGGACTAGAAAACCTTCGTATAGACTGCAGATTGAAAAGTTAAATTGAATGTTTTTATGATTTTTCTTTAAGACCATAAAAGAGTTCCTCTTTAAAGGAATGTTTATTATTACAGTTTTAATATTCAGTTTTTGAGCATGTACAAAGAAATTGCTTAAACCCTATTAAAGTAATTTATTTTCATTATCACTGTTTGTGCTGTTAGGTGAGAGTCTTTAAAAAAGGTTGCATATGGGAGTCCAACACAACAATTGCTTTGATTGTGTTAAACTTAGATGTTGTATTTAAGCATATGTTCCTTTCAGGACATTAAATTGCTCACGGTACTTTGTACAAACCAGCGTTCTGCAAGAGAGGCAGGAAGACCGAAAGTGGGATTTGATGGACGTCAGCACATCAACAGACAGGCTTCGTATTGAAAGGCTTGCTGTTGCCATAGAAACGCCAGGAGAGGAAATTAAAGAAAGGCAGAGAGTAGTAAAAGCTTGTTTTTTTTTTTTTTTCTGGTGGTAACCTCTCAGCATTTGATATGTTTTTCCACATTTAGTTACAGAAAATGTCAAAATGCCGAACAAGTAATGTACAGAGCGCGGGCAAAAACTGCTGCATTAATGGAGAGAAACTCAGAAATAGCAAGAGTAGGATCTTAGTTTTATCAGTGTATATGACAGTACACATTTTCAGTGGATAGAAGGCAGCTACATGACCTGCCTGACTCAATTTCCTCATTTCTTTTATTCTAAATAAATAAATCCGTATTACACAAGCCAAAGGCTTTCATTTATATATATATATATATATATATATATATATATATATATATATATATATATATATATATATATATATATATATATATATATATATATATATATATATGACACAAACTATTGTATTAGTTGATGCATTTGCATTTAATATTTCATCATCTTTAACAGCTCTGTTGCTGTTGGATACTACATATTGCAATGCAGATGTGATTGTTTGCAGTATTGGCTAAGTGTCAGATAGCCAAACATTTTTTTGGCAGTTCAAGCAATCAGACTGTCATCGATCAATTGTTTTCTGCTTATCCAAAAGAGGCGTTTCATCAGGGGAACGCAGACGCCCGTTTTTATAGACGCACACACCAGCTCATTCTGCAAAATTCCAAGGCATTTACAGCCCAGAGGCGATGAGCAATTCTGACAGTAACTTCTGAGGAGCTGATTAACTATCTTGTATAAAGAATTTGTTCTTTGTGTCATGATCCATATCTTATGACTATCGGGGAGCCTGGGAATTTAGACTGAGCAGTACATAGAGAACTTTATGTGCAGACCAGAGCAGCATCTGCAGAAGAAGCCCTCTGTGTTTTTATCTATCTTCTGCCACATCTTACTCTTGATGGAAAAGAAACCATGATGCTTTACTCCTCAGTATGAATTACCCTGCGTTACCTACAGTGATAATGATCTGTATCTAACATCGGCTCCTTTTGGCTATGTGCACGGAAGGCGTTTGCTATTGACAGACAGTTTCTGATTACTTTCTTGTCTATTGTCACAGGTGCATCATGGTTTTCTTTTTGCACATTTGTGGTGGAAAAACTTTTAATTAGTTTTGTGGTTCCTTTGCAACTGAGCTCACTCTGAGTAACCCTCACTGCGAGAACTCTGTTTCCCTAAAAGTAAGATGACAGTGAGCAATGTTTCATGAAGGTAAAACAGTGAGGATAATAGAAATGTACTTTAACTCTGATAAGCTTCTAAAATGTACTGTTATCAATTTATAAACCTGAAAAGCTATGATACATAATCTCGCAATTTTGAAGTTGTGTTTGAAATGAAATTCGTCCTTCTAAACATCAACCAATAATTTATTTTTTTTTTATCTCGTTTCCATAGCGAGGAAAAACAAGAAGAATAAGATAAGAGTGCAGCAGCGATCCCCAGAACCAACCGGCAACATGTCTGTGGCCATCATACCCAGAAGCATGCCCCAGCTGGTTCCCACCATGCTTTCTGTCCTGAAGGCCATCGAGCCTGAGATAATTTTCTCAGGCTACGACAGCACGCTACCAGACACCTCGTCCCGTCTCCTGAGCACCCTCAACAGACTGGGAGGCCAGCAGGTCATCTCCGCCGTCAAATGGGCCAAGTCGCTGCCAGGTACCGACGTCTTCTTAACAGCTATGTTTGTTTTAATGTGTCCTTCAATGTAAAAGCCCAAATAAGCAATTTGTTTTAGTTGTTTTACTTTTAAAGGTCCCCCGATGTTAATGCGACCTGTACACAGAACACTGATTTCTCACTCTGCATTTATTCAGTTTATCTTCATTAGTAAGACTTGACATGTTTTTAATGCCTCTACTCTGCAGTTAAGAAAAAAAAACTCAGCATCTAAGTAACAAAATGTTTGATTTGCACCAGATGCATGAAATCAGAGTAATTGTGGCTCAGGAAAGCATGATTTGATCAGAACAATGCCAACTAATAGCGATTTGACGGTAAAAGCATCTTAGCCAATGTTAATTCCTCTGTAAATGTGAACAAATGGGATGTTTTACAGCTTATTTTTTGTCAGTAGGGAAAACCTTTTTTTTTAGGTCGATTCAGTAAAAAAAGGCTTGAAGTATTACATAAAACCAGAAAAAAACATGTTCTACTCAAGATAAAAAGCACTTAATGATAAAAGAAATTGTTAGATATAAAATGCAGAATACTGATTTCTGTATAAACTGTTTAGTAAAGCCAGATAAATATTTGTTTTTTTATTTGAATTTTATCTTTATAACTTCTAAGCAAATTTGCATCTTAGCAAATTTGTATAAATACTGCTGTTTTTTAGTATTATTCAATGCCTGTCCTGCTGAATGTTGCTGTGACAGAAAACAGTTCTTTCTGCTTAATACCTCAGCAATAACACAAGCTTCTTGCTTCCATGCCAAGCCGTGTTGATGCAGTAATTATTGCAAAGGAGCTCAAACCAAGTTTTAATTACAGAAGCTAAACTATCAATCTAGATGACGTTTGAGCTGACCTTTTTAACTAAGTTGATGTTTTAGGTGTTCAAATGTATTCTCTAAACAAGAAAAATCATATTTCACTCTGTTATTTCTTTTTGTTGCTCATTAATATGCTTCACATGTTGCTTTTTTTAATTTTGTGTTAAGCTGTATTGCAGGAAATTGCACCAAGATTGAACTTAAATTTTAATTTTAAATAGAGCTGATCAGTTTAGCCATTTTGTTTTCATGACGTCAAGACCCCTTTCTTTCAGGACTTTATTGTTCCTGCTGTGTGGACAAATGCTAACTTCTACCCATATACATTGATTTGCATGCTAGCTGCAACTCTCTGTCCATTTCTTTGTAACAGCAAGCCTGCTTTAAACATATTACCGCCATCTAAAGGGCTTCAGTTAGAAAGCCTGTAAATGTAATGCTATCATAACAGTACTTCTGTAATATGGGAAAAAAACGTTTTGTTAAGTCGTGATTATATTTCATTTGCAATAAATTGTCCAGCTCTAATCCCCACTAATGTTACTACATCAGAATATGTACTAAAAAAATTAAAAAAAAGATAAAGCAAATACTAAGCATGCTGTAAACATCATTAGTAAGATATTTTTTCCAGGCATTCGATGGTTCATGTTCCATACTGGATAAAATGCTCGACAATATATAAATTACCAAAAAAAAAAAAACCGGATCTAACCTTAAGAAAAACACAGTATAGAATAAAACTAGTTTATTGGTTGTAATTTAGGTTTTTCTTTAGGGGAATTCCTAGAGATTAAATCTACCATCAGATCCCTGCTACACCTTCTAAGAGAGGGTGGTGGGGTTTCTCTAAACAAACAGAACACTACATTAATTATAGCTACTGCAGATATTTTAATGCAAAACAAATGTACAGGTCCGTACATGTGTTTTATTAAAATGTATATACTGTATGCAGGAATTCCCTTTATTTGCTCAGGTCTGATCTTTATGCATTTCTGTCCCTGCCAGGCTTCCGTGAACTGCACCTTGATGACCAGATGACTTTGCTGCAGTGCTCCTGGCTCTTCCTGATGTCCTTTGGTCTTGGTTGGAGATCCTATGAGCAGTGTAACGGCAGGATGCTCTGTTTTGCCCCAGATCTCGTCATAAATGAGTGCGTATGAAGACTACTTTATCAGATAGATCTGCTTTTACTTTCATTGTTTTTAAGCAAAAGAACAGCAGTGATTGTCTGCTTATCGAGGACGATACCTTGCAAAACCTTTCAGCCATAGAACATGACTAAGTACAATAACGTTATGCAGAAGGAAGACGGGATTTTTCAGACTCACTCTAAAACTGGGTTTGTCATCTCAGTCGGCATACAACAAGACCTTAGAAACCTATTTCAACACATTTGATTTTAGGAGAAGTCTGCTTTTGTCCTTGTTTAGTCTTTTAAAAGAAGTATTGCATGATTTTATTTTATTTTTTTAAACAAGATATTAAGTGTCTCAACATCTGTTTTAGCTTCTTTCGCTCTGTGTAAAATATCCAAAGCCTGACTGAGAACTCATCAGTAAAAAAATAAAGTAGTATGGCACCAAAAAGAACCAAGATATGACCATCCAATTAAATAGTAAGACCACCATCAACTATAAGCATCTCTAAGATAGCTGTCAAGTCAAGTATGAGATATAGCAAACCTCTGCTGCACTCATATCAGATGAACATGGGGCATTTTAAGTACTCTACTCATTGTAAGAATGGTAGTGGCAGTATTATGCTGTGGGGATGCAATAACAGAGAAGCTGATCAGAGTTGATGAGAAAACGGTAGAAGAAGAAAGTCCTGAGAATGATATCAAACAGATCGATCCTGGAAGAAAACATGTTAAACCTTGCAAAACGCTTTAGACTTGGTGAAGGTCAGGGATCCCAACATACAGTAGTCAGAGCTACAATAGTCATGTACAGGAATGGCCCTGAGTCCAGATCTTAATTTGATGTCACTGTAGCAAGATTGCAAAATCTGCTGTTTAAAGATGCTCTTCAGTTAATCCGATAAAGCTTGGACTGTTTTAGAGAAAAACAGGCATTATTTGCATCAACTGGACATCCAAAGCTACTAAAGCAATGATTTGGCTGGTTTGCAGGTTTAATTTTTCTACACCTTCAAATTTATTTCATGAAAACACCGTCTCCGATTTTTATGTCATGAAAGAAATATTTAAAATCACGCGTTTTTTCTTCTGTGTAACATTATTCTTCTTAGTCATGTTCAATGCTGGAATGTTTTGAAAGGTATCATCCTTGATAAGCACACAATTACTGCTGTTCTTTTGCTTAAAAACTATGAAAATAAAAAGAACACAAGTGTCTTTCAACCTTTAAAATGTACACAGCGGATAAAAAAAACAACAAGAAAAAGAAAACAAGTTTTAGTGGTATGAGTCATACCTGGTGCCATTTGAATTGTTGCTGATAAATTGTTATATGTGGTATTTAAGAGTAAAAATATAGTGTGAAGTTCCTCCTCTTCTGTTCTAATACGGTATTGTTGAATAACTTTCAGTGTGAGGAAAGAATGGCAGAATTAGTGAATAACTTTGATGTTGTTTATGTTCCACCTGTCTTCCCATTGTCATGTTTACTTCCTGTGTCCGGTCGTAGGGAGCGTATGAAGCTGCCTTTAATGGGCGACCAGTGCGAGCAGATGCTGAAGATTTGCAACGAGTTTGTCAGACTGCAGGTCTCCTACGAAGAGTACCTCTGCATGAAGGTCCTGTTACTCCTCGGTACAGGTAAAGCACTTTTTATTAGCTTGATAAACATTACAAATAAAAAAGTGTTTTTACTGCATATTATAACTACTACTACTAGAAAAGTAAGGGGAGTTTCAACAATTTTCACTCATTTTTAACATACATTTATGATTATTGGGCCCTTCATTACCTTGGTTTCACTCATTATTATTATTATTTTTTTTTTTTATTGGCAAGCTTAATGAGAATTTCTGGTTTATTTCCACCTCCACACCATTTCAATTATTAATATCGGGTTGAGTAAGGTCTGTGTTTATTTGCATTCAGTAATGATGGCTCTAAAATGGGTACTTTATCATAGGGCTGGGCGATATAGAAAAAAAGCTTATCGATAAAAAAAAATGCATATTGATCGATATCGATAATTATTGAAAAGATTTGAAACCATATTTTATGTGCAGCTCTGCCTGGACTTTTTATAATATTGCTAAATGATTTAATTTTAATAAAAAACACAAACACAGACTTCGAATTAAATCTTTATTTAACCCACTTTTTTAACCATAACAGAATTGTTTTAAAGAAAAATAACTTAAGAGACCTGAGTTATGTTATTAAATACTGACAAAGAATAAACTAAAGTGACCAAAATAAATATAACAAATAAATAAATGCCCCCCCGCCGCCGCCCCCGTTTCCTGCTTTAACCTGAGTTATTACTTTGAAGTTTCTGGCCCCTCAGCATTTTTCTCTCAATTGTTAGAACTACGTGGGAAACTGCCCAGAACTGAAAATATATATATATTTACCGAAGATTCCTCGGAGGAGAGCCGCGCCGGGGCCTACACAGCTCTTACTCCTGCGGGTGTGAGCGGCTGAGATGATAAAAAAAAAAAAAAAAGTTGGTTGTGTTATCAGACTTGGTTTTCACTGGTTCCCGACACATTTTACAGATGACTGTGGTTTGTTTTTGGTCCGACTTGCCATGACCGAAATACTGCCAGACTGCCGAACTACAAAAACCCTTCTTTGAAACAATTTCCTCCGTTCCTCCGACTCTCCTTGCTTCGACATATTCATGTGCTCTGTGCTGTGGTTTGAGAGGGCGGCGCTTGGTGACGGCGTGCCTGGGTCCGCGATTGTGATTGGTTGGGAGGAAGCAGTGACTAGCATAAACCTACATGCTAGGCTACAATGAGAAGGAAGGAAAACTGCGTTTCTTTTTTATCGAACTTTTATCGACCCTCTTTTTTTTCCATTGCGCCACACGTCTATCGATCGATATATATCGTTATTGAATTATCGCCCAGCCCTACTTTATCATGTATTTCTCATAAAAGAACAAACTTTATCAATTCCCCTGCCTGCCACAATAATAAAGTATGAAAAGAGTAACATTTTGTACTTTGGTGAGTTCATGGCGGCAGACGGGAAAAGCAGAATAATTTGGAAAGCTTGGAAGCTTATCGACACTTAATAGTAACAAAGTTGGCTGTGGGCTGATACACAAACGCAGCAATCTGGTGAAGAGGAAGGAATATGTTCAACCTACCAGAGTCTGAATGGCTCCTGCTATAACGCTTGGTTGGTGGTTAGGGAAGCAGAGGGGGAGACTGCAGGCTGCGCAGGTACAGATGGATCCGGCTGATCATGGAGCCACAAAGCTGCTGTAATTCCATCACAGAGTCCAACCTCTGATTTTGAAATAAAAAAAGAAAATAATTTTTTCCTTCATAGCTCTATCATTCTTGTAGAAACACGCATACAAATACTCAGAGAACTTTATTTGTATTCATTTTTTATTTTATTTAACTGAAAAACTAAACTTGGGATTTCTTCTCCCCTCAACCGAGAAATAAATTAATGAAATAAATCATTCAGTGTGTATTTTATTAGTTATTAGTAGTATTCCAATTTTATGCTCATAAAAGCATGTATTGCATTTAGAAGGAGCGCGGCTCCTTTTAAATGACTAACCAGCAATATGCATTGATGTGCATGAATCTAAAGGATTGCCATAAAAAAAAATTATTTTTAATTCTGTACATTCAAAAGCAGGTTAGATCAATGCATGACTGGGCTAATAAGAAAACAAAGTTTTTTAACTAATAGATGGTGGTAGGGAGAATTCTTAAAAGTTATAATTTTAAAATACTGTAAGAAACTTAATACTCTTTAATGCACACATTTCCTTTATACATCCCAATTTGTGGAAAAAAAAAAAAAAAGTTGTAGGAACTACCCAGTTCCAGCCTGCAAAGAAATATGTAAAGCAGCATAAATAGCTGAAAAGCTCCTACCGTATGTCAAAATAACCATGGCAACAAAGCTGAAAGGCCATCACAGACAGACATATTAACACACCCGAGGGAGATGAAATACAGCCAACCAACAATTGATCGAAAATAAATGTGCCAGTTCTGTTTTTGTTCTACAAAGACTGAAGTCCAAAAGGTGCTGCCTGCGGCTCAGTCCAGCTAATTTCCTCACTTCATCCTGATTGTAAAGTTTAATAAATCTGTATTAGTACCTGAACGTAACCCCATAGATTTCTAAAAGGAACGGCGGCACCACGCAAACTAGTGAGGTAGATTATATTTAATGTTTAAAGCAATTCAGAATAGCATGAATAGATAGAACACAATTAGAAACTATCCTTCCACACAGCCCACTTAAAGAGCGTTCCCAACGCAGCTATTATCTACAAAAGAGCTTCCAAAAAATGCATTATCCACAGCATTGTTCATTAGGTGCACTTAATAATCGTGAAAAATTGCAGTTCATCCAGAAAGTATGTTTAAAAATTGTATTTTTAAAAGCAAGTACTTTGTTACTTTTTCTTTAGTACAAATGTGAGTGTGATACTTTTGCTTTTATTAGAATATTATTTATTTGTTTATTTGTACTTTTTCCAGTATTGCCAGCAGTGAACATGCAGCTTTAGGTATGTGTGTTTATACCTTGTCCACCTTATAGCATCTGACTGGTTTGAAATTGACAGTATAATTCATCACCTTTTTTCTGGTAGGATGGAGAATCTTTGAGAACAAACATGGATTTAATGCTTATAAACGAATAATTATTTAAAGTTTCCATCATATGAGGAGAAATGTGATTTGGTTTTATTGTTCATTTTTAAAAGCTCAAACTCGTGGAAATCCTCCATTTGATTTTATTTTGAAAGTCTTGTTTCTTAGCTTGTTATCGTGACGGGAAGTTTTCGCGGTTGCTGAACACTTCCACGTAACGTTCATTTTCATTACATCCCTTGTTTTGTTTTAAACTTGTAAAAATGAGGCTGCATGTTTTTTTGTTTTTTGCAGAAACACATACATGAAGCCCTTTGGTTTCTGGAGTTTAATACTAAAGGAGCAAACTTAATTAGACGGCAGGAATCCTTTTATATGGAGACAACTCATCTAAATGCAATTAATTTTTTTTTTATGTGTGCTGGCTGATATTGATGGCTTTTTTTCACATTTAGGATGAGAAAGTGTTTTTATTTAGTTTTCTTTTCATTCAGAAATTACAAAATATATTAAAATTGGAAAGACTGACCAACCATTAGCTGTTTATGTATTTTAATCATGCTTTTCTTTTCTTGGTTGGAACTTCTGAATGGATTTTGAGGGAGTGTTATGCCAGAGTTTGTTTTTGTTTTTTTGTCTTTGGCTACGAAATTTATACTCTTTATAGAATAAATGTTTTTTTATTTTTGCATTGAGCTCAGGATATGCATCAAGACATATCCTTGAAAAAGCCAAATGTTCAAACCAAACATCTTAGTTTAAAAATGTTATATTGATTGGGTTTTTTATAAAGTAATTTCCTGAAAGAAACTTAATTTCCTTGAGAAATAAAGGAGGTCAAGAAGGAGGTAATTTTGTTTCTTTCCTGAGGAGATAAATAACAGGCTGCTGTCTGACTTATGTAATCGTCATAAATTGTCAAAATAGGAGCTCATCATGAAAGAAACTCATTACACAAAAGTCTCATTTCCCAGCTTTAAATCGGTCCTTTTTTGCCTGATAATGAATTGGATGCAGCATTTTTATTCATTCAGTCTTAATCGTGTCTGAATGGAGTTGAAATGGTGTAAATAATGGGAACGACCTTCACTAGACTGGAAGAAAAACGTGAAGGGTCAACAGCCTTCTTGTTGAGGTAAAGATGCTAAAGTGTTGGCCTTACAGGTTATTCTTCACTTTAAAAAACAGCCAAATGTCAGATGGTGAAATGTTCCTTTTTTGTAAACTGTGAAATGCAGAGTTAGAGGCTGTTCTTTCGTTGACATTTAAGGGCAATTGTGGAGGGAGCGTGCTCCTCCTGCAGATTACATTTCCATACTAAGAGCAGGTTGCATTTTTACTATTTTACTGTCTTCCTTGCAATGCAGTTGAACCTATCAGGTCAGGACGGCCTTCTTAAGAGCTCATTCAATAACTTCTCAGGGACATTTGTCAAAAGCAAAGCCATTTATGGAGCAGTTTTGTTTTTATCCATTACAGCCACAGAAGCATTTTGACCGTATGCTCTGCAGTGCGAAACTATTCCTACCACTTTAACTCTCAGGCTTTTTCTTCCGACGGGCATTTAAAATGTGCGTTATGAGGATTTTATGTCGCAGAGCATCACAAAGGTATACATATTTTTGAAACGGTAGGAAAGATACTTTTTTTATTATTTTAGTTTTTATGGTGTGCATTTATATTCAGCCTTTCTGAGTCAGTAGTTTCTTGAGATTTATTATTTTGTATAGTTTTACGTCAGACTGAGCTGTTTTAAAAGCTAAAGCTCATTCAGACATGATGGTGAGTTTCATCCCAAATGTAGGGGTAAAATTCCCAAAAATTTTACCCCTACATTGCTTTTGGCAAACCATAAACGTAGATTACCTCGTCACAATTGTTCTAGTTCTCTCATCAAAGTTCTCCCACCTTAGTTGTGGATCTCTGCAGCTCCTCCAGAGTTCACTTTCTCTTTTTTTATTTTTTTTATTTTTGTGATTTACAGTTTTCTTTTAAGAACTAATTCCCAGG